AACCGCTGAACTGCAGATAGCAGTCAGCTGAAGTGGCCTGCAGTACTGCACCCTAACCACTGCGCCACCTCGGCTCCTTATCCTCTACAAGGAATTTGCTACAGTTTCTTGGAGAACTAGAAGCCTGAAATTAAGTAATACTTCCCATTATCTGCATTTGCCTTATTCCAAACATGCAAACAATTTATGTTGCTATTTCTAATAGCATGTAATCATTAATGACTTATTAGAGTAAAAGTCCACAATATTTTTACAAATTTGCATCTTTAAAAAATAGGTTTGTAACCCTGTCATAACCCTCTTCACCTTCACCTCTTAAGTTTTCCTATCTTTTATTAACTGCAGACCAGTGTTTCTCGAGTCAGACTCAAATGTTAGTTACCAAGTTAAAGACAGATTAAATGAGAAAATATTATGAGAGAGATGAATGTGTCTTCCATGAATGAAATGATAGTTACATTATTAAGATGAATAATTTTACATGCCATTTGGAGAATTCTGGGAGCTGAAGTCCCCACTTCTTAAAGTTGCTTAGGATCTATACAGAGTTAATAACCTTGATTTTACTGAAGTTGAAAACTTGTTTCCTGTACTTGCTCCTGTACTTAGCTTATATGACTGCATCACACAGGGACAGTCAGAAGAGGAAACAAAAGATTTACATTTATGTAACCTCAAGGAGTTTTTTTATATATACAAAGTTCAAACAAGCACCACCTTCCTAGAAACCTGCAACATGAAACAGGGGCATACAGGACTGGAGGTATTGTAAGCTATTCTCTCAACAGAGCTTTCCAAACAATGATCAGGGCTTAACAAAACTTTAGCAGCCAGATATTAAGTTGCAGGAAAGTTGCAGATTCAAAGGGCAACTTTTTATCCTTCAAAACTAGATACTTACATGGCTACATGAACCACTATTTTATAGTCTGGCAAACAACTCTTCATAGCCATTGTAAATGAGCCTGACCTGCATTATCCAGGATCCATTTATGGCTCCTATAAAACACTATCTCCCAAATTAGTCTCACAAAATACTCTAAGCCTCCTAGGTGTATTCATTTTATGAAGGGCATTCTGGAATGATGAGTTTGCAGTTTCTCGTTACCAAAGGACGGCACTAACCAAGAACCTATCCACACACACCCAAGTCCTTGTTTTCCTGGCCAGACTAAACCCAACAGTTCAGATTAATTCAGCTCAGTAGTGAAGTGAGCACTGGAGTTGGCAAATTTCAACAATTCCTACCTATTCAGAGCTGTCAAGGGGACAAACAAATCACGTTCAATTGCAGCTCACTGGGGAGAGCATCTGCCTTCCATTCAGTATGTTTCGGAGGCTAACCAGCTTATCAGCAATGTATCTTAACCCAGTCCAGCATATATGGGGGAAACGTAAAGCGGTTCCTGCAACAAATAAATGGCCAGAGGATTTTGAAATTGGGGCAGCATCACACACACCAATCCTCCTGGCAACGCACAAGCCAGGAATTACACTTCTTAACAAAGGTTTTTGTCAGGAAGCAGAATTTCACCTGCACACATTTTGCATTTCCTTCATATATTCTATTTCTTCATATATTCTGGGCAGGTCAGCTAGACCAGTGTTTCTCAACCTTGGCAACTTGAAGATGTCTGGACTTCAACTCCCAGAATTCCCCAGCCAGCGAATGCTGGCTGGGGAATTCTGGGAGTTGAAGTCCGGACATCTTCAAGTGGCCAAGGTTGAGAAACGCTGGTCTAGACAGACAGAATCCTAGACTTACCAATTGCTTTGCAAGCCTTGGTGGGCGGATCAATCTCATATCCTTCTTTACATTCGCATTTATAGCTTCCTTGCAGGTTCACACAGACTTGGCTACAGGCATCAGGGTTGAGACACTCATCAATATCTGCAAAGTCAAGATAATGTTGCAAAGCATTCAGAGGAAAAGGTCATTCCTCTGGTCAATTTTCTGCATCAAGCCAAAGAGGAAGGGCAAAAGGTTCCTCCATCCAGGTTTGCTTCTTCGGCTGTGACTGGGGAAATGGAAGGATTTCTATTCCTTGCAGACAACATAAATATATAGGAATATAAACCCTTCCCTTCCCCACCATCCAGTCAGAGCTGAAGAAGCTTCTTTGGATGAGAAGCGAAATGTCTTTAAAGAAAAACCAGAAAGTCCAGTTGCCTCTTGAAAAAAGCCCCTTTGGGAGAACCAGGACAGCCTGGAGGACTGAGACTCTCCATCAGATAGAAATTTTCACATCTCCAAATAAGTTAAATGTATCCTCATTGTTATCAATGCTTCCTGGAGATGGAAGGATCCAGATCCAACACATCCAGAGGCTAAAAGATTGGGGAAACTAGCATTAAATCAAAAGGCTTCTGATAAAGAGAATTAAATGTCAAGATATTCTTACCTTCACATTTTCTTTGATCAATCAGCTGGAAGCCTTCAGGGCACAAACATTCATATCCAATTTTCTTGTCGTTGCATATATGGGAACAGCCTCCTTTATCAGCCAAGCATTCATTAGTTCCTGCAGCAGAGAAGTACAGTATGGAGCTGATCTCAGAGAAACAATCTTGAACCTCTTTTAACCTTTTCAAATACGTGCAAACCTTCATTGTTTTGCAAAATAGAGCCGAGGTGGCGCAGTGGTTAAATGCAGCACTGCAGGCTACTTCAGCTGACTGCAGTTCTGCAGATAGATAGATAGCAGTAGATAGCAGTAGACTTATATACCGCTTCATAGGCCTTTCAGGCCTCTCTAAGCGGTTTACAGAGAGTCAGCATATTGCCCCCAACAANTGTGGGGGCGATATGCTGACTCTGTAAACCGCTTAGAGAGGGCTGAAAGCCCTAGGAAGCGGTATAGAAGTCTAACTGCTACTGCTATTGTCAGCCAAGACCTACCAGAAGCTCATGTGGGGCAATGTGTCATGAATGAAATTGAGGGCAAATCTTAAGCTCTCCATCATCTTCCTCAACTCTCACTCGGGAGAGTTGGATTGGAGAATCGGTATCTGCTCAGGGTATCTGGCAAGTTTTCTTTTAATTTAAAAAATAACCTCAAATTCCTAGTTCTGTTTTCCTGAAGTATTTTTGAAGCCTCTCAAGGCAGTTTGTTCCAGCTCTCTTCTATGTTATCTTGAAACAATTGACATTTAACTCTCTTATTTAGCCACAAACATGTCAAGTCCTGCTTCTCTTTCTGCGGAGGATCTCGAACCCCACGTGTGGCTTTTGCAGAGAGCTCTGAGGAGGGCTCAGTCGATGCTTACCACAGTCTGCCTCGTCCGATCTGTCCTTGCAGTCAAAGCTCCCGTCGCACTGCCAGCGCTGGTGGATGCACTCGCCACTCCCACAGTGGAACTCCAGTGGAGAACATGGGTCGGCTTTCTTGGCTCCCTGCTGGATTCCACAGAACGCGGGGGATTCATCCGAGCCGTCTTTACAGTCTGCGTCACTGTCGCAGGCCCAGAGCTTGGGAATGCACTCTGAGCTGTTGCAATGAAACATTTCGGGATTGCAGGTCGGGGCACGGCAGTCTAATTCATCACTGCCGTCTCCACAGTCATCATCTTCATCACAGACGAAGTCAAAAGCAACGCAATTCCCATTTTGGCACTGGAACTGATGATCTGCACAGCGTTTCGGAGCTGAAAGGGCAGAAGAAGAAGAAGAAGGGTTACCAGTCACAACCGACATCTACATTGGGACACAAAGTTTACAAGTGGGCGATTCGCTTCTCTTTAACAGGACACCGTCCATATATATGTTTTATGCTAAACAACCGAGAGGCCTTTTTCTTGAAGCCCACAGGATTTCTTGTGGATCCAAAGGCGTCTTGCTGTTTCTCTTTTACTTGTCCAAGATCGACTGCAGCAGATGAACGCAAAAACCCTGAGATCTCTACTAATAAATATGGCAGAGGGCAAAAAGTAATCTTTTAGATTCTATGCTCTAAAATGCAAGACTGATAGAGTTTGAAAACCAAAGTCTACAAGACCCAATAGGGTACATCCTCTCTTTATCTTTAAAAATAATGTGATTCCAAATCTCTATTCCTGTCGGTTTTACTATAATTAGCATCCTTTATTTAATATGACAGCATTATCTGGTTATCTGGAACGAACTACCCCCAGAAATCCGGACCTCGCCCACTCTCATGGCCTTCAGAAAAGCTGGCAAGACCGCGCTATTCCAGCAGGCCTGGGGCTGTTGACCTCACTGTTGAGGTCCGGCCCTGATTAGATTGAATGTATGAAATGTTGCTGTTTTAAACCGTTTCTTTCGTTATGTGTTTCGTTATGTGTTTTTTCTTTTCTCTTTATTTTTGTAAGCCTCCCGGAGTCCTTCGGGATTGGGCGGCATATAAATGTGGTTAATAAATAAATAATAATAAATAAAGAACGAGGGGGGATGGAGAGGGAAATAGAGACAATGGAGTCCAATCTCCTTCCTCAACAGTTTGGAAGCAAAGAAGCACTCTAGCAAAGTGTTTACCTTCCACCCTGAACGATCCTCTCCCACATCCCAACCCCTGTGGCTCTCCAGGCTCCCACCTAAAACCCCCAGCAGGGCTCACCGTTCACACAGCCGACCTCGTCACTCCGGTCTTTGCAGTCGGCCTCTTTGTTGCACTGCAGGCTCCCATGGATGCACATCCCGTCATTGCACTGAAATTCATCAGGGCGGCAGGTTGCTTTCACTGGGCAAAAGCAAGATCACCTTTAGAAGCAGCTACACCATTGCGCCAACCCAGCGCTTAGCTCTGCGTGGCACTCAGTGCATTAGTACAGTTCATTTCGCTTCGCGGAACCAAGCGATTCAGAGTGTAAACCTGCACCTCCAACTCTCCCACAAGTACCGGGACCGAGTAGCTTCGATATTCTTGGCCAATAAATGGAAAGCTATGCAAGTTGAGCACCAAAAGTGAAGAAATGGACCTCCAGGACAATATGTAGGCGTAGCTCTACCAGGAGCCATAGAAACTACAGGTAGCCCTTGTTTAGCAACTGCCTCACTTAGTAACTGTTTACAATTACACTGATGAATAAAGTAACTCTGCAACCAATCTTTGCATTTTTGATCTTTGCAGATCTGTAAAGCAAATGAAAGCTTTTACTTATCAATTGCTGCACTTAATGACAGAGTCACCGGTACCAAGTATGGTCACTAAATGGGGACCTCTAGTAGAGAAAAGCACTCTGTCAAGCCTGAATTGGAAGAGCCAAGGTGGCGCAGTGGTTAGGGTGCAGTACTGCAGGCCACTTCAGCTGACTGCTATCTGCAGTTCAGCGGTT